TGGGAACCGGGCTGCACAGCAGGATGTGAGCAGCGAGTGAGAGAGCAAAGCTTCATCTGTATTTCCAGCAGCTGCTCATTGCTCACATCACCACCTGAGATCCACCTCCTGTCAGATCAGCAGTGGCAGTTGATTCTGCATTGTGGTGAGTTGTATAATTATTTCATCATATATAACAGAAATAAAGTACACAATAAATGTAATGCACTTGATCATCCCAAAACCATCCCCCTCATACACCCCGGTCTGTGGAAAAACTGTCTTTCATGAAACCAGTCCCTGGTGCCAAAGAGGTTGGGCACTGCTGCTTGACAGGACATAGAAATTCTCTAAAACTCAGACGACAGAGAAGGACAACACTATTTATGTCATCAAGTAGAGTGATATGGTTTATACTGTGTGATACAAGACCAATTTACACAGCTTTATTTAATTTAATATTGTTACAAAAAATCATTTCATTACTTCATGTTTTCATTACTTCAATCACTTCATGTTTTAAGATTCATGAGATTTATACAATGATTCTCATAAATCTACAACTTTAAAAAAAATTACAAAAATGCTTTGGAAATTTTCTTCCTTTTTTATATGCCTTCCAGATCTATAGTAGTAGAAACAAAAGAAAAGGTGGACTTCAGGAGAATAGAGAGGGTAACAAAGCTCCTCTGTTTCATTCCCTGACCTCTCCAGTGCTTGTTGTCTCTGTAGCTCTGCCAACCGGTGCTGACCCTTCCAACATCCCCATCCTATTAAAATATCCACTAAGCCAAACATTATTTTCAAAAGTCCTATTTCCCACTGTATTGACCTTGGTGGAATGACAGCTCAGGGGACAAGGAGAAAGTGGACAGACCAAAATGGTACACGACTAACATTTTCCTCAGAGTAATGCCCCTATTGTTTTTTACTTTGTTTTTATTTAGATGTCTAATAAAGGAAAAGTTCGCTCTGTAAACTATATTCAAATATATAAACTATAATGAATAATTTCTCAGTGAAATAAAGAAAACTGTACAGGTGAAATTTTGGGTCCCATATATAGAGAAAAAAAAAAACCCCAGGTTCAGTTCCAGAACTGTGTGTCACAGTGAGACAAGCACAAAGTGTACCGACACAGCCAGCACAGCCTCCTGTCCCCATCTTTTCATCTGACACAGGCTTTAATGTGGAAGTTCTGACATCTGCATTTTATAAATGGAGAATCTGTGACCTAGAAACCTTATGTTACCCGTCTAAGGTCATATAACTAGTTTTCAATTTGAAGGGGAATAGACACGAATTCAGTGGAAACATCCATTATAATAGTTACGGGAAATTTTTAAATCTTGAACCCGTGTGTTTCTGTCTCTAAATCCCTGATCCTGTGAAAGACACAGGTTAAATATAAAATTGCTATAGGACTTCATAAATTTTAGAGACTTAAAAATTTTTACTACTGTAGAAGTTTGTATTCAAAAACTTATAGAAAAATGTGTATCTGAAATATTTGCATAAAAAGAGGCATCATAAAAATATTTTAGACTTCAACAAAATTAAGACGGAAAACTCTAAGCTGTTGACTTGAGCCATTCATGCTAGAAATATCATCAGAACACATTCCCAAAACAATTTTATATCATGGACCTCAATCATGACTTGCATGGCAAAGTTAGATTAACAATGATAAATTAAGAATAATATTTTATAAATAGAATAATTTAAATACTTAAAAAGGGACTAAGATCTTTGATTTGGATTAAACTATGGAACCTCATTTTAATTATCCACAGTTATATTTATATGTTTTTTCTTTCTTTCCTAACACTCAATGTGAGGGTTTATATGGTTATTTTAGAAAGAGGGATAAGGCCTGGTTTAAATTTATTCAACAAATTGTAAAGGCATATTTTATGGTGCACTTCCAATCCAGAGCACATATTTCAAATCTTTCCAAATTGATTTGTAACATGAGGAACTGAGCATTGGATGATGAAGTCAGAAAACTTAATACTATGTATAAATACTGGCAAGGCCACTAACATGATCTGTAAGTTTAAGTTAAAGCTATCCACAAAGAGGTTATTTTAAATGATGAATTTTCTTTTTGAGGTTGTAAGATTATTTTAAAATCGATTTTGAAAAAAACTTATTTGATGTTTTACATTGACATAGCTAAGGAATCAGGGATATTCAATAATTTAGTAAATCTCTCTTTCATCTGAAAACAATATATACATAAGAAGTATAGAGTTCAGCAAAGTATTTGGCAGGGTTTCTTATGATAGTATTAAAATATGGAAAAACTTCTGAAAGATTATAGTTAGATGCATTTGTCATTGGACTATCAAAGAAGGATTGGTAATTGATCACTTACAACACTGTAGAACATTTATATTATAGATACTAGAGAAGGGATCAATCCTTAGTCTTTTTCAAATCAATATTTTTTCTAAAGGCACACAGAAAATATAGACATCTAACCTGCAAATTATATGAAATAGGAAATTATAGCTAATCCATTGTATGCTATGTTCTGAATCAAAAACAATAAAAGACAGAAACAGTAGAGTAAAACTAAGTTTAAATTCACCGAACACAGAAAGTCCTATGTGTGTGTAAAAAAAAAAAAAAATGTCTACACAAACACAAATGGGGATTAGCAGCATCATATGTTAAATTTTTTAAACGCTTAAGTAATTCTATTTAACTATAAACATCATATATGCTAACACTGTAAAGGTACAGCCAAAAAACTATCAAAGGCCGTGTACAGTATCAGAAATATCATATACAGAACAATGTAGGTCATCTTTGAGGGAAAAAAAAAAAACACATGTATATGGTACATACTTTGAATTTAATAATGTGCTCTCGTCTAAAGAGTAGCTATTCAACTGAAAACTTAGCCAAAGAAAAAGCACTTGATCCTTATGAAAAATGGTGAACTAGAAAAGCTTCTCTAATCAAAGACTTAAAAGGATACATAATAACTACCTAGGAAAATATGTTAATGGCAATTATAAGGAAGGATTAGATTTTGGGAACAAAGTCCAATGTACCAACACTACAAAAAGTTGTATGTCACAGCCCCATGAAAAGCACAAACCAACACCCTTTCCATTTGTAGTTTTTTTCAGCCAATAGAAATTCCAACTTAGTGCTGACAGAACACCTGAATTAACCAAATGGAAAAATTCATACTGAAAATAAGACTGCGCCCAGAAGGTAGTGGTTTCTTTACTTAGGAACACTACTTGTGAGTAGTCTTTTCCAAAAGTTGTCTCTCAGGATCATTAATCTTACAAGTTGTCTGTAGTTAAGGGGTTACATAACAAATGAAAAATGGCATGCTCCCTTTCTTCAATTTGGAGATGTGAAATTTTCATTAGCATGTTAAAGATTTGTGAGAAGCTTTTCATTAAACAAATCTGTTTAACTCTTTTGATGTTTCCTAAACTTTTTAACCATTTTAAATAGCATATCCAGGGGGCATCCCTTATTTGTCAACACTATCCTATACTGGAAAGTAAACTATAGTGCATGCAGACCTATTGCCATGGGACATTGAGAGTTCCAGGGATTATATAACGTGCTCCCATTTCTCTGATTTTCAGATTTGCCTCGATAAACTATTTTATATCTTCACAAAGTGGCATCAGTAGTGTGTGTCCATGACTCATTTTTACAACGTAAGGAAAAGAACTGATTTATCTTCCCACTATAATAATCTGGAGTACAACCCAGAGAGACAATTTATTAAGGAGAAAATATTCCTGGACTAAGGATACAGACCTGAGTTCTCATTGTTACTTTGCTAGTTATCCATCCTTGGCAAGTACTCATGTCTCCTTGGGCCTTGGTTGTCCTGACTTCAGTAGTCCCTACAGCACTAATATTTTACAATTCCATTATGCTAAGTAACTGAAAATTTGCCTTGTTCGTGATGACTAAACTGAGGTTATACTTGCATATTTTGGAAGTGGAGGAAATTACCACCTCAAAGTTTAAAAAAAAAAACAAACCCAGGAGGAGTCTGACTAAAAGATGGTTTTTATATTTAGTTCAAATCCATTGTTTCAAAAGAACTGTTACCCACAGGCTAAAAATGCTAAAAATAATTTCATAAATAATAGCTGTTATTCATCACCCGTATATAACTTTAAATACCTGTCATTTTCTAGACAGTCAGTACCAAATCACTTTTATTTAAGATCACTAAAAAAAAACAGTTGACTGTTTAACTTGTTAGACTCCTGTGTGGTACCTCCAAGCACTTATAAAGTGCTAATAAGTCTGATGAATGAAATCTATGCACAAAGGGTAAATCCATCTTCTCTAATAGATTCTCTAAATACTTTGTTTTAAATAGCATTTCTTGGCACAAAGAATCTATAATAATAGCTCATTTTCCCTTCAGTGTAACTAACTTACTGCTATTAAAGACAGTGACAATAAATGCATCTTTCTAGTTAAGTACCATGCTCTCTTAAAATCTAGATGTTAGGCATTGCTTTCGAGTGAGTAACATGTTAGGGGAGAAAAAAAATTGACTACCAGTATCTTTAACAAACACAAAAGTAAGCAAATTCAATTACATCCCCGGCCAAGAGTTGTGACCTTATAGGGTTGCCAGTTAAATACAAGAATTCAGTTAAATTTGAAATTCAAATTTCAAATTCGGAACATAATTACAAAATAATCTTTGTTTACCTGAAATTCAATTTTACCTGGGCACTCTGAATTTTTATTTACCAAATCTGACACTCCTATGTGAAATACCTAGTATGAGATACTTGCCAATTTATATCTTTTTTGTCCTAATCAAATAACACTTTTTTTTTTTTATTTTCCTCATGGAGTCAAGAAATTCTACTATTACAGCACACACAGATGAGTAATTTCCCAGCCACAATTTTTCTTTTCATTACTGCTCCTCTGCTTTTAACATAATCAAGTTTTCACCATTAAAATTGTAGTCTACTGAACATATATTCTAAAGATATCAACATTTTACCTACCTGTGGGTAACATATGAGAAGGCCACATAACAAAATATTTCTTTTTCTCACTTCCTTTGCAAATTCCCGAATCCACATTAGGTCCTCCATTTTCTGACTGAGAGGTACTGATTTAATGTCAAAAAAATGTACCTGCAAAATACAGAAGGCAACATTTAAGAAAATCATTTCCTTCAAAATTCTCTTGAAAAAAGAAAACAGTAAAGAAACTTAAAAACATATGATTACAATGTTGTAATTATTTTTATTAATGTGTTAATTTCTAGTTGTGCTTAAACCATAAACATTGAATAAGACCAATGAATCTTCTTTATATAAATACACACACAGTAAACGCTCATCAAGAACACAAATGTTGAAACATATAAAATGCTAATATTCTAACTTACATCAGAGTAAAATGTCTAAAATACATAATTTCATCAAATCATTCAAGTTAATCCATTGTAACTAGGCTAGACAGAAATATACATTGTTTATATGCTAAGAAATTAATATAAATAAAATTCAATCACAGGGGAGTGATTATCCAATTAAGTTAAGTTTTTTTAAAAAAGAATCTCTTTCAAAATAATAACTGGCATCTCTAACAAATAATTGTTCATTTCTTAAGGTAAACCCAGAGTGCTTTTACAAAGAATATTTTTAAGCAGAATTAGTGTTTTTCTTGAAAATATTTAGGTGACCATTCTTTAAACTGTTCAAAATATCTTTACTGAAACATATTTATACATCATTGTGGATACATGTGATATTTTGTGACATATATAGAATGTGTAATAATCAAGTCAAAGTTATTTAGGGTATCCATCACCTCAAGTGTTTATCATTTCTATGTACTGGGAACATTTCCAGTCTTCCTTTTACCTGTTTTGAAATATATGTTACTAGCTATAGTCACCCTACTCTGCTATTGGATGTAAGAACTTATTCCTTCTAACAGTACGTTTGTGCCCATGAATCAACCTCTCTTCATCTCTGCTCCTCACCCCCAACACATACACACACCCTTCCCAGCCTCTGGTATCCATCGTTCTATGCTCTACCTCCATGAGATTAATTTTTTTACCTCCCACCTATGAGTAAGAATGTACAATGTTTGTCTTTCTAAGCTTGGCTTATTTCACTTGACGTGACTTCCAATTTCACCCATGTTGCTGTAAATGACAGGATTTCATTCTTTTTTAAGGATGAATAGTACCCCATTATGTATGAGGGCTGTCCAGAAAGTATCCAGCCATTGTTAATATAACAAGAACATACTACATGGCTGGACACTTTCTGGACAGCCCTTGTATGAATACCGCATTGCCATTATACATTCATCCATTGATGGATACATAGGCTGATTTCATTTAAATGTTAAAGATGTCATAGGGATCTTCCCTCATTTCTCCAAACTACTGACATTTTATAATATTTCCTGTCTATTATGGGAAATAAAAGACCTTAAGCACAAAAATAGCCCCAAAAGAAACAATTCTTAAAATGTAAATGTACACACAGAATGAACACGCAAATATGTGTATTCTTTTGCAATATCAAATTTTAAAAACTCAATTATAAAATGTTTTATATGTATTTATTAACTAGAAGTACTTTAAAATATATACCACCCTCATACTCTTATACAAATCCCTTTGCTTCCTCTCTGCTTACCCATATGGAAATACATTCTACAGAAAACACACAATAAAACATCTTATTGTATTCTTTCTGTAACATGTGGAAATAAGATTTTTTTTCCACCCATCACATTTCATTTTTCTTTTCCAGGAAAGAGTACTTAAATAACCTCTATTTTTAAGGAGCATAATATGATGATGTGCAATACATATTAATTTAGTAGATATTCAATACTATTTCTTGGAACATAGGTTAAGTAAAGACACAGACATATAGCTACTTCCTCCTGAAATCTAAGATGACAATAGACTTTTAAATGCCCATAAGGAAATCAAAATAGACAAAGGAAGAAAAGTAAAGTTTTGGAAGATAAAAAGAAAGACGTTTTTTAGGTTTTTCATTTGCTAAACAGCTGAAGTAGAGGTGATATGACTCTGTGACCTTGGGTTCACCTTATCCTAGGTCTGCTTCTCTGGAAACCTATAAAGGTGAAATTTCAGCTGTTTTACCAGGCAACATTGCTTATGATAAAAATAACACCTGTCTGGTGAACCGCAACTAGGCTAGAAGAACTGTGAATGAACTATAAACACTAGACCTTCCATCAGTGTTGTTTAACTTATAACCAGGTATTTCCCCTAGCTGGAACCTGGATGCTAACTGTTCACAAGCTGTTTCAAGAATGTTGGTTCCTGTTTGCAGCTTGAGCCTTTTCAAAGGAGGGCTCACATACCACCTTCAGTGATCTCCTCATTTACCCCTTAGCTGCCAGGGAGGAGTTGTGGGTGCTATACTGAAGTGAGCTGGTGAGCTGAAGTGACATATTCATCTGTGCCCTGCCTTTTTTCTCTGCCCTATACTCTTTTACAAAGTTGGACAAACCAGTGTCACAAAGGCATGCTCTCAACTTACAAATCTGAAATATTTAGCTGAACCTAAAATTACTGGTAGTCAGCTTGATGACAAAAGGCAGGCTAATTCCCAAATGTAAGACGATTGTGGAAGTTGCAGTCATGATATGAACCTAAAACCAGGGGACTGGCTGAGGATATAATAAGATCTTCTCTTGAGCCTATGCTACAAGATAGCAACATACTGCCATGCCAGCTGAACTGCTGTTTAGAGTTAAAAATTTCAAAGTACTATTTAATTTTTTGAACTGCATAATTTCCTGTATTACTTAGATACCATGAAATTCCAAAGGCCACCATTTCCTTCAGAGTTTATGTGAAAGAAGTACCTTAGAGATTTGTAATGTACAATCTGAGCAAGCTTACTGCCAGCCTACATGGATATGTAGAGAGCCAGACGTTTCTTGCTCAATACAAATTTTCCTGAAAATTTTGAGTCCTGAAAAATCTCACACTAAAATAAGTTGGTGGTGGGGAGTTTGTGGAAAAAATAGTATAGAGGGCAAAAATACGAGACCTTCTCTAATTTATAATTACAATTTCCATGGATATTTAAAATGCACAAAAACTACAGGATGGAAATGCTGGTAACATTAATTGGAGAAGGAATGATGCATACAAGTGTGAATGGAGCTCTGTACCTCTGCAAAATGAAGCTGCCATTAAGATTGGCTCAGGAGGAAGCATAGCCTCCCAGGAGCTGGGGCATCTCTCTGGAGGTCAGTTAAAAGTAGGTGCTCATTTTTAATTTTCCTAAAAAAATATTGTAAAGGCTTCTGATTCTGGTGCAGCAGCCAATTAAGTTGACCATTTTTTCCTTTCCTTCTAAGGTTATAATTCTATCTAGAAAAAGTCGCCTAAGAGCTGATGTCATTTCCACATTATATGAACTTAACGCCCTTATTTGATGACCACATAACAAGCTAATTTTTCTTAAAGAAACACATGTTGTACCAAAAACATCTCAGTTGAATGGAAAGACATGGTACAATAGTTTCTAGAGTCCCCACAAATTCATGAGATGTCCAAACAATGACTAGAAGATTTTCACTCCAACTATAGATTAATATAAAATAATACAGCATATTCTAGTTCCTTGGAACAACAAAAAGTTAATAGCACTTAAAAACAAAAAAAAAAAAATCAATAGGCCAAGGCTGTTTACCACCAGTTCCATGAATTACATGGTGCACAAAAGTGAGTTCTAGGCAAGTTATTTATACATCTACAAACTGATATTTCTATGTGATCCCATCAAACCAAGTGCTTAATTTATAAGAAAACATTAAGACATGAATTAGAAGACATAGGAGAAATATTACAGATCCTTTCCATGAATACTAACTATAATATATGCTGAGCATTGTACTAGTTGATACAATTAACTTTTAAAGAAACACAGATATGAATATTAACATTATGAAATGTATAATCAGGTTAACAAAACTCATGCATGAAGTAGGATGCATCTCAAAATTCTTTTACCAGATGAAAAGGCCTCATAACATCATGAAAACAGAAGACAATCTCCAGCAGATGTTATTCCTAATACCATGAAACTTAAGTTTAACTTCAGTTTAAACTTTACATAGTGCTACTAATTTTGAATTTCTAAAATATACCAACTACTTAAGTGTTGTAAGGGGAAAAAAATGAGTTGGCACAAAAGTGCAATCAATTTTAATTTGAGAAAAAACAGGGCAGGTTTATATAACCACAGCTGAGGGTTTCAAAATGATCATGATAGCTCAGGAGAATGTAAATGTTTTTGCCTTAATAAAACAAACTTGCAGCCTGGACAGGCTTGCACCTATTAAAATGCAGCATAACATTTCATCTATGTTGATTCCTGCAGCTTTGCTTATAGCTATGTCGAGGTTTTGTTGTTTTTTTTTAATGTCTTTTTGCACTGTTCACTAATTCACTACATGGAAATTACAGTGAAACAATGTTTCCCATTTAGCATGACATTTCTAACAGTTTTTTCTCACACACACATAAAAAAGATAAAGGATATCCTACTACCCTCCAAAAGAGAATATCTAATTTTATTCAATGAAAAGTAGCACATTTACTCATAATAAACTGGTAAACTGCTTAAACATTTAACATGTGGATAGCTTCATGGCTTTGTGGGTGGGCGAGGTTTCTGACACTCAGGGTTTGGAAAAGGCTCCTCTATACCTTGTATGTCTTCTACATTCACTTCTAACAAGCTTTATATTTGTCTAGCAACCATGTAATATATTCCTGGTCCCAGACGAATTCCAATTTTTGTGTATATTTTAAAATGTGATTTTCACTTGTCTCTGAGGACAGGTACATTAATTAAAGTACAGTAACTAAATACTGAATATAAAATTCTTTAAAACCCCACATTTAACACTTCTGTCTTATTACAGAATTCATGTTCACAAGAAGTCTTGAATAGAGAGTCAGGATTTGTGTAATGTGGGAAAAATAGACTGTTTATTTCACTAAGAAGAAAGCCAATTTGTGAAGCTTTTGTATAAGCTCAAATAATGCATTGTTTAATGTCCACCAAAGTGGAAGGAAGGATGGTCAAAATGAAACTTCTGGTAATTATCAAATAAA